GCCGCTACGTAACAAATCTATCAGATCTGTAGACTTGTAACCCGAGAGTCTTTCAACAACGTATTTCAGAACTGACTCACTCTTTAAAAACAAATGTGCTCAACACATGTTTCGTCTCGAATGACCATAATTACACTTCAGTCCACTCACTACGAACACCTCAGGTTCAAATGACGACTAGGAAATCAGCTACGATGACTGATTTCTTGGTTTTCCTAAGACACTCCGGGCATATATCGAAACATTATCTTACATTAGGCTACCACCACTGAAACGGTCTGAGTGCCTATAATCGAGGAAAGATTCTTCGACATCGCTGGACGGACGGCACAGAGATGTTCCAGATGAAACAAATTTATATAATTTAAAAATAGTCATATTTACAGAACACTTTGGAAAGAAAATCTTTTACCAAAAAGGTTACAACGCCAGTGAGGGCAACAGAATTTGTACACAGCGGCGTCTGTGAGTGGAAGGTGGAATAAGACGTTGTGGAACGTGGAGTAGCTCTGTAAAAAAACAAGAGAATGGAGCTTTGTCGACCTCGAACCGCACGTGCAGTCACCCTGGGTGGTCAGATAGGGTAATTACAGAGTATTCCACCGAGCAAATTAAGTTACCAGTGGTTGAAATAATGTCCGAGTGTCGAAAACTGCAAAACCTCAACGTTAACCAGACAAAAGCGCGGCAGACCGGATGTGGCCCGTTTTCCAAGCCAGGACTAAACTCGGGATGAACGAGATTTCATGTTCTTACGTGGCGAAGATGCAGATGTTGGTCTTCTGGGCTGTAACACCGTTCGAACTTGCAGACTGTCTACACAGCAAGGACCTCTGGAACGTCGGCAAACTTCTACCAGACTACACGGCGCAACAACCCAGAAGACAGAAATCTTCATACTCTGATGACGGAGGCAGTACGACCTCTGAAACGTCGGCAAACTTCTACCAGACTACACGGCGCAACAACCCAGAAGACAGAAATCTTCAGACACACAGACGTGAAAACCTCAAATCCTAATATTGTAATCTGTTCCATTGAGAATAACACGACAGGCTCAAACAGCCCTCGACGTTTATAGATTCCAAACACGTTCGCCTTTCCTAACTCTCCGTTTTCACAAGACAACACAAAGTAAGGGCCGCTGAGCACACTTTAAGACTCTACAACTGCAAAACAAGTCTTCGAGAAATAACCTGTGAGAAGAACATTTTAATATTGTTTCGCCAGGAAACGAGTATCTTGGTCCCTATGATGCTATAGCCTCTTAGTATTCTATAGGCCGTAATTCGACTCCTTTCACCTGTCAAAGCCCAGGAGCTTCTTAAGTGAGTGGGGTCTGTAAATCAATCTTTCTTC